GGGACGCGCCGGGGTCGCGGCCCCGCGACGTCGCCCCGGCCGCGGACGCGACGCTCGAAGCCGCGCTCGCCGCGCTCGAGGCGAGCGAGATCCCCGTCCAGGACTCGCGGACGAACGTGACGCGGCCGGGCGCGCCCGCGCCGCGGGGTTTGGTGCTCGGCGCGGTGAACGTCCGCGGCCACGGCGGCATGCGCGTCTCCGGCGCGACGCACGAGCGGCCGCGGCTCGCCAAGCTCCTCTGCGACGTCTTCAGGGCGCACGCGCCGGACCCGGCCTTCCGCTTCACGACGATCCAGATCAACTGCAACTACGAGGCCGCGCTCCACGTCGACAAGTTCAATTTGGGGCCGAGCTACATCGTCGGCGTCGGCGACTACGGCCCGCCGGAGGACCCGAAGCTCCCGGCGGAGTTCGCGGGCCGCCTCTGGGTCCAGGGCCGCGGCGCCCTCGACGTGCGCGAGCAGTTCGTCCTCTTCGACGGCAACGCGCCGCACAGCACGATCCCCTTCGCCGGCGCGCGCTACACGCTCATCTTCTTCACGCACGCGTCGCAGTACGCGCTGCCGGAGGGCGAGCGCGCCTACTGCGACGCGCTGGGCTTCCCCATGCCCCACCCGAAGCTCTGCAAGCCGCCCCACATGCGCACGGCCGAGGAGCGGCTCATGGCGGGCCGCGACGCGTACGCGGCGTGGGAGCGCGAGGTCGGCGGCGGCGCCGCGGCCGCGGCGCCCGCGAGGCACAAGTACTTCCTCGACGGCGCCGGCGGGCGGCCGTCGCAGCGCGTCGCGGCGCTCGCGGGCGGGTCCGCGCCCCAGCTCCGGCGCCACTACGGCCGCGCGGTCCGCGCGGCCGCGGAGTCGCGCGAGGGCGGCCGCGCCGCCGCGGCGACGTTCGTCACGGGCGACCGCGAGGGCGAGGCCGCCGACGAGGCGCGGTGCCGCGCGGACGTCGTCGCCGACGATCTGGTCGCCGAGGCGCTGGCGCACCGGAAGCCCTTCGTTGGCCGCGTGGAGCGGTGGGAGGCCGCGTGCGCGAACCGGCGCGACGAGGCCGGCGGCGCGCGGCTCCTGGCCAAGTACGCGGGGCTCTGCCTCCTCGACGACGACCCCTACGACGCGCACAGCGACGTCGCGAGCCTCGGGCGGCGCCTCAGCGACTCCGTCGGCCAGGAGGCCTTCAAGCGCACGGAGCTCGCGCGCGCGGCCATCGCCGCGGGCGCGCCGCTCGTCGACCACCGCGTCATCGTCGGCCTCGAGTGGTGCAAGTTCGCGCGGCGCTGGACGGCCGTCACGGAGCTCCGGGACAAGCACCTCGACCCGGCGAACTTCCCGAAGCCGTCGCCGCCCTTCTCAGAGAACACGATCGAGAAGTACCCGCTCGACAAGGCGCTCGTGGACTACATCCTCAAGTCGCCGCACAACCCGGACATCAAGCCGCCGAAGAAGCCGCCGCACAAGCCCGCCGCGCAGAAGCCGGCGCCGGGGCCCGCCGCGCGGAAGCCCGCCGCGCCGCGGCCGCCGCCGCCCGCGCCCCTGCCCGTGCACGCGGCGTCGCCGCCCGCGCCCGCGCCGGCCGCGGCGGCGGCCGCGGCCTACGCCGTCGGCGACGTCGTGAGCCAGGCGGACCGGCCGGACCTGCCCCTCACCGTCGCGCGCGCGGCGCCGGGCGGCGCCTACGTCTGCGCCTACGGCGCCGAGTCGGGCCAGTGGCGGGGGCACGAGGTCACGGTCCCCGCGGCGGACCTCGTGCGCTTCGGCGCGGGCCTCGGCCCGCGGCGCCGCCCGGCCGCGGCGGCCCCCGCGGCCGCTCCGGCGGGCCCGCGACCGGCGGAGCGGCCGCGCGCGGCGGCCGCGGCCGAGGCCGGAGCGCCCGCGGCCCCCGCGGCCGCGCCCGCGAGCCCGCGGCCTGGCGGGCGGCCGCGCGCCGCGGCGCTCACGCCGACGAAGCCCGGCGACGGCGGCGGCGCCCCGGCGGCGGCGGTCGCGCCCGTGACGCCCGCGGCGCCGGCGCCGACGCCCGACATCGGCGAGCTCGGCGACGGCTGGTGGGAGAAGCGGGACCCGGCGACGGGCCGGTGCTACTACGTCCACGAGATCACGGCCGCGTGCCAGTGGGAGCGGCCCGACATCCCCTCCGACGAGTCCGACGACGACGAGGTGGAGGTGGCGCTGCCCGACGAGCGGCCGCGCTGGCGCTCCGACGCCGACGGCGCCGCGTGACCGCCCCGCCCCGGAGAGCTCGCGAGTAAGGAAGAAAGAGAGTAGGAAGAAAGAATGTTAGTCGTCTTTTGAATTCGAGTGTGGTGTCGAATGATCGCCGTCGCCACCTCCTTTCAGAGCACTCCAACAACTTGAAGGCTTCAAACAAAGCACGCACGAAGCAGCGAAAGTTGCACCTCTTGCAATTCCTTGCCACAACAATCGGAGCCACCAACACCGATAGCCCCAATGACGGTGCGTCTCGCTGCTCTCGTCGCCATCGGCGCGCTCGTCGACGGCCTCGTCGTCCGCGCGCCGCAGCGACGACGACCCCTGCGCCGCGCCTGCCGCGCGCGCGCGCAGCCGCCGCTCGTCGCCGACGCGCCGGAGCCGAGTCTCGACGAGCTGTCGAACGAGAACGTCGTGCGCATCGTGCGCGAGGAGTGCGGCGACGACGAGGTGAACGCGCTCGTCTGGAAGTGCCTCGGCTACCGGCGCGACGGCGAGAGCTACGCCAGCGACGCCGTCTTCCCCAAGTGGCGCGCCAAGTACCCCGCGCCGCCGGATCTGGTCGGCGTGACGCGCGTCTACAGCAAGGACGTCGACGAGCCCGTGCTCCGCGCGAACCAGGCCCTCGTGGCGTCGATCCCCATGAAGTACAAGGGCGGCATCAAGGAGCACCTGCGCGCGGTCGGCTGGACGGGCTACAAGCTCGAGGGCCTCACGCCGAACAAGACGCGGCGCGCGCAGTGCGCGAACTGGCTCCTCTACTACCGCGAGGCCCTCTTCGGCCTGAGCCTCGACGAGCTCCGGGAGGCGCGCGACCGCGACGTCGCCGCGGAGAACCAGAAGCTCCGGGAGGCGGGGAAGATGCTCCGCTCCGCGAAGGGGCCCGAGAAGAGTCCCGACGCGTCGTAAGGGCGAGTCGCACACGGATCGATTTAGAAGGCGCTCTCCATCTCCTTCTCCTCGTCGTCCTCCGCCGGCGCCTTGACGAGGAGCTTGGAGACGCCGCCGGCGAACGCGTTCATGCCCTGGGTGGCCTTGGCGGCCGTGCGCATGGGCTTGAGCTTCGCCTTGGTCTTCGCGGCGATCATCTCGTTGTAGCGGCGCTCCTTGTCGTTGTACTCGCGGTCCAGCGTCGCGAGCGTCGCGAGCGACTCGACGCTGAGGTGCACGCGCCGCTCCTCCGTGGGCGAGTGGATGTGGAGCGTCCGCGCGCGGAGGATGCCCTGGAGCTTGGCGACCCAGGCCTCGTACTTCTTCGCGGACGTCAGCGCCGAGCCCTCGTCGATGACGCGCCGCAGCGTCGGGAACGCGACGACGCCGCGCTGGAGCGCCCACCGCAGGATGATCGTCGCCTCGTCGAGGCCCAGCGCGCCCTGGAGCGTCTTGAACGTCTCCTTCTCGACGCCGGCCCTCAGCTTGTTCAGCGTCGTGTCCAGCAGCGCCAGCACCTCGATGCCCCGGCTCTGGCACCAGGTCACCGTCCGCCGCCGCGGCTCGACGAGGTTCAGCGACACGAGGTTGAACACCTGGGCGGTGATTCAAGTTCGCTTCAACGTGAGTGTTCCGCGCGCGCGCGTTCCGAAAAAAAGCATCCACGCTTCGAGGCCGTTCCGAGAGATGATCGCTCGTCCAGGAATGAGCCGAAACGAGCGGAAATTGGCCGAGATCGGAGCCTTTGAAGTTGGGAACGTCGCTCTCTTTTGCCGCCCCGTTGAACGCGGGCCGCTGCTCCGGCGCGACGGCCTCGATGAGGCGCTCGAGCTGCCAGGTCTCGAGCATCTCCGTGCCGAGCCAGCGGACGGACCCCGCCTCGACGAGGGGCTGGAGGTTCTTCCACGTCCGCAGGAAGAGCCGCTTCTGCCGCTTCACGTCCGCGGACACGTGGTAGGGGTCGTTGCCGCCGTCGCCGAGCGCCGCGGGCCAGGGCACGCACAGCCCGTCGAGCTTCGCGACGCCCAGGCCGTCGAGGATGCGCCTCGTCTGCACGACGCACGCGTCCGACGTCCGGTGGCAGTCGCCGCCGAGGCGCGCGACGACGACGAGCTCGCTCCGCGGCGGCGGCGGGTCCTTGGGCGCCAGCGGCGAGTCCTCGTCGACGACGATCTCCTCGGGCCGCAGCACCGTGCGCACGCTCCCCTCGGCGCCCCGGTCCACGAGGATGAGCCGGAACTTGGAGTTGTCGCCGAGCGCCAGGCGCAGCGCCTCGGCCACGGCGGCCTCGGACGCCTTGGACCGCGCCTGCGACGGCGGCTCCGCCTGGATGCCCACGCGCGCCGTCTCCACGAAGTGGCTCCGCGACGACGTGAACGCCGTCGACCACATGGCGCCGCGCGCGCTGGGGCTGCCCCGTCGATCAACTGGAGAGTGCTCCGACGTCGATATTGAAGCCTATATCCTGCGGGCGCAACGCTTCCGCTAAATAAACAACTCGCTCGAGGTTCGTTATGCTCCGCGCCTCCCTGAAACCCCGCGCGCGCGGCCCCGGGGCGCGGACGGATCGGCCCGCCGCGCTCCCCCCGCCCCCGGGACGCGCCCCCACGCCCATAGAACCCAACCCCGCCTTTTTTCGTGGCGAACGAGACGAAAACGATTCCGTCCCCCCCCCCGCAGCTCTCACCCAGCTCGACTTCCACCCACTCTTCTCTCACCCACACCCTCTCTCACAACCATGCGCGAGTGCATCTGCATCCACATCGGCCAGGGCGGCATCCAGGGCGGCAACGCCTGCTGGGAGCTGTTCTGCCTCGAGCACGGCATCCAGCCCGACGGCCAGATGCCCTCGGACAAGACCATCGGCGGCGGCGACGACGCCTTCAACACCTTCTTCTCGGAGACGGGCGCCGGCAAGCACGTGCCCCGCGCGGTCTACGTCGACCTCGAGCCCACGGTGTGCGACGAGGTCCGCACGGGCACGTACCGCCAGCTCTACCACCCCGAGCAGATCATCTCGGGCAAGGAGGACGCGGCGAACAACTACGCCCGCGGCCACTACACGATCGGCAAGGAGATCGTCGACCTCGTCCTCGACCGCATCCGCAAGCTCGCGGACAACTGCACGGGCCTCCAGGGCTTCCTCGCGTTCCACGCGACGGGCGGCGGCACGGGCTCCGGCCTCGGCTCGCTCATCCTCGAGCGCCTCTCCGTCGACTACGGCCGCAAGTCCAAGCTCTCCTTCTGCATCTCCCCGGCGCCCCAGATCTCCAACGCCGTCGTCGAGCCCTACAACTCCGTGCTCTCGACGCACGCGCTCCTCGAGCACACGGACGTGACCTTCTGCCTCGACAACGAGGCCCTCTACGACGTGTGCCGCCGCAACCTCGACATCGAGCGCCCGACGTACACGAACCTCAACCGCCTCTTCGCCCAGGTCGCGTCGTCGCTCACGGCGTCGCTCCGCTTCGACGGCGCGCTCAACGTCGACATCACCGAGTTCCAGACGAACCTCGTGCCCTACCCGCGCATCCACTTCATGCTCACGTCGTACGCCCCCGTCATCTCGGCGGAGAAGGCGTACCACGAGCAGCTGTCCGTCGCGGAGATCACCAACTCCGTCTTCGAGCCCGCGGGCATGATGACCAAGTGCGACCCCCGCCACGGCAAGTACATGGCGTGCTGCCTCATGTACCGCGGCGACGTCGTCCCCAAGGACGTCAACGCCTCCGTCGCGACCATCAAGACGAAGCGCACGATCCAGTTCGTCGACTGGTGCCCCACGGGCTTCAAGTGCGGCATCAACTACCAGCCGCCCACGGTCGTCCCCGGCGGCGACCTCGCCCGCGTCATGCGCGCGGTCTGCATGGTCGCCAACACGACGGCCATCGCCGAGGCGCTCTCGCGCATCGACCACAAGTTCGACCTCATGTACGCCAAGCGCGCCTTCGTCCACTGGTACGTCGGCGAGGGCATGGAGGAGGGCGAGTTCTCCGAGGCCCGCGAGGACCTCGCGGCCCTCGAGAAGGACTACGAGGAGGTCGGCGCCGAGACCGCCGAGGGCGAGGGCGAGGAGGAGGACTTCGGCGAGGAGTACTAGGCGAATGCCAACCCGCGGGGCGCGGCTCCGCCGGAGCCCCCCGTCCACACGGCACGATAAGTAAGTGCTGAAAGAGAGTTGCTCGGGGCATCGATGATGCGGCGGCTATCCCAACTGATCTCTCACTTAGTCTCTCCGACTGTGCTTCAACTTGACAACTAACCTGAAAAGTTACTTGCAGCGATCTCTTAGCCCGGCGGCGCGGGATGATGGTCGCATGGCTGCCTAGCTGAAGTCTTTGCGCCGCGACGCATGGCGAATCGAGGAGAGACGCTCGACCCCTTGCCTAGTTGGCACGGCGGACCGCTCGTTCGCGGCCGCGTCGTCGAGCGCACCGCGCGTGGCCATCACGTAAGAGAGCGCGCCATCCTCTGCGACGGCAAGCAAATCGCCGCGTTCCCGGAGCCAAAGTCCTGGGTCCTGGAGGAAAGCATCCTAGGCGTCATCGCAGTTGCCGCCAAACAATCGAATCATGTCATGTCTCGGCTCTTCGTGGAATACCATGCCGTACAAGGGCAAAAGGACTACGACGAGTCGGGCTTGACGTGCTTCCACGCGGCTTGTGGTCTCGGCCTGACGAAGCTGGTGGTTCTGCTGCTCGACGCCGGCGCGGACGTCGACATCCTTACCGCGTACGGCAGCTCGCCGTTGTTCGTCGCCGCTGGTATGGGACGGCAAGAACTCGAGACGATCAAGTTGCTGATCGCGCGGGGCGCCGACGTGGACCGATGCGGCGAGCCCGGGGGAACGGCGCTCGCTATGGCGGTCCAGCAATTCACTGCTAACTCAACCCGGGGCGAATCGCCCGAAGAGCGGCAAGCAGCACGCCTCGAGATGATTTCGATGTTCCTAAAAGCTGGCGCGAGCGCGATGGACCATTCGCCCGTCACTATGCTGATGAGGGTTATTATGATGGTACCAGACGAGACCGCATGCGTACGGAGCAGCTGCAGTCTGCTATTTCGGCTTCTCCTGGAGCACGGCGCCGATCCAAACCAATCGATTAGGGGCGTAAGCCCGCTGCATCTGGCTGCCCAGATTAACGACGAGGTGATCGCGCCGGCCTTCGTTCGGGCCTTGCTGGAGCACGGAGCCGACCCTTTGATTTCGTGCGGCCTGGACGTAGCCAAAGGCTTGCCTTCCTTCCCTCTCGTGCGCCCGGCGAGAAGGCTGCCGACCCCGCTGTGCTTGAGAACGATGCCATCGACGAATCGATTATCGTCGATGCCTGGGGAGTCCCTTCACCCAACAGTCGTCGCGCTCCTCGAGAATCAGCCTCGCGTCCGACGCGCCATCGCCCGACGAACCTGCGAACGCTGCAAACGTCGCGTGGAGCTCTTCGCTTTCCCGCTCCCGGCCTGTGCCGGCTGTGGCACGCGGTACTGCGGCAGGGAGTGCCAGAAGATAGACTGGAAGGCAGGACATCGGGATATGTGTGCCGTGGTTACGGCGCCCGACCCCGACTAGGGTACTAAGCTCCATGTTCGAACAGCTCCCGCTCCACCAGCAGCCACATGGCCGGCTCGGTCTGGCACCAGAGGCGGTACGACGGGTAGGCGTCGGCGACGGGCATGAGGCCGCCGGCGTCGCGGCTGGCCTCGTCGAACGCTCGCCACGCGGCGGCGTGGTCCTCGAAGCCGCCGAGGCCGCGGCCCACGGCGCTCCAGACGGCCTGCGTGCAGGTGAAACGAACGCTGGATCCGTCGCCGAGGCGCGGCGACGGGCCCGCGTCCCGGGCCTGGTGGGCGAGGAGGCCGCCCTCGGACTCGTAGTCGTCGCGCGTCGCCGCGACGAGGGCCGGCGCGGCCGCGGGGTCGTCGAGGGAGAGAGCGTAAACGGCGAACGAGTCGTGCCACGAATTCCGTCGCCGCGTCCCCTCGAAGTCCCCGACGTGGTTCGTCGGCCGCGCGCCGTAGCCGAAGTCGGCGCGCAGCGCGTCGGCGGCGGCGCTCGCGGCCTCGCGCGCGGCCGCGTTGCCCGCGCGCGCGAGGCGCCGGCACGCGAGCGCCGCGGCGGCCTGGTCGACGGCGCGGAGGTACGACGGCCCGCCGTCGCCGCGCGCGCCGCGCCGGAAGCGGCCGTCCTCGAAGAAGAGCTCGAGGAACGCGTCGCCGATCTCGTCGAGGCGGTCGTCGCCGCAGTCCTCGCGCAGCAGCGAGTAGAAGACGACCGCCGCCGCGTTGCCGACGCAGCGCCGGTCGCGCGACGGCTCGTAGAAGCCCGGCCGCTCGCCGGCGTCGGCGATCGACGCTTCCGGCGCCCGCCAGAAGCCCGACGCCGTCCGCCGCCGGAAGCCGCCGTCGAACGCGAGCTCCCAGAGCGAGTCGCCGAGGCGCTTCGCGTCTGCTCGCAAAACGTCGGCCGCCTCGCCCTCGAGCCGCCGCGCCGCGAGCAGCTGCGCGGCGCCGAAGTGCGCGTTGTGCCAGACGCCTTCGCCGACGAGGCCAGACGGCGCGTCGTACAGGTCGTCGAGCAGGTCCAGCGGCCGCGCGTTGCTCGTGCGCGCCTTCACGCCTCGTATCAGCCGCAGCGACGTCTCCAGCTCCCACGACTGCAGCGCGGTCGCCGGTATCGATGCGACGAGCAGCGCTGTCATCATCATCATGCGTCGTCGCTGCAGCGGTGCGATGTAGCGGTGGTGCCAAAACCTTTTGCTCTGCCAAAACCTTTTGCTCTGCTTTGCCACCATCGGACAGCGGTGCTCGGAGTTTGCTTGCAGCCGACCTTGCCCTTGGCTCATCCTAATTCAGGGACGCCGGAGTTTGGGCGGGCTGCCTCTCGCGCCGTGGGAGGCGCGATGAAGGGCTGGCAGGCCGCCGCCGGCTTCCTGGGCGTGGGGACGGTGATCTCGCTCCTGAGCTTGATCGGCGACACGACGAGCTACGACGAGACGAAGTACAAGGTCGCGGGCCATTGGGCGGACACGACGACGGAGACGGCGACCGTCGGCGGCAAGCGATCGAAGCAGGCGTCGAGCGACGACGGCGACGACTTCGTCGGCGAGAACGACGGCGGCACGAAGCTGCCCCCGAACGCGCCGAGCTTCAAGTCGAAGCAGGGGGGCCGGTCGACGGACGACGACGGCGACGACTTCGTCGGCGAGAACGACGGCGGCACGAAGCTGCCCCCGAACGCGCCGAGCTTCAAGTCGAAGCAGGGCCGGTCGACGGACGACGAGGGCGACGACTTCGTCGGCGAGAACGACGGCGGCACGAAGCTGCCCCCGAACGCGCCGAGCTTCGAGTCGAAGCGGGGGGGCCGGTCGGCGGACGACGACGACGCCTTCGCGGGCGAGAACGACGGCGGCAGCAAGGTCCCGCCGGCGATCCACCACCTCCTCGACACGGCCTACCTCGACGAGCTGCCGAGCGCGACGACGCAGCAGCAGAACATCCTGCTCATCCTCGCGGACGACATGGGCTACAACGACGTCGGCTACCAGAGCACGGACCTCGGCGCGGCGACGCCGACGCTCGACTCGCTCGCGTCGCGGGGCGTCGAGCTCGCGAGCTACTACACGCTGCCGAGCTGCACGCCGGCGCGCAGCTCGTTGTTCACGGCGAACTACGCGGCGAACAACGGCATGGGCTACGACGGCCCCGGGACCTACGTCATCGACAGCTCCTACGGCCTCCCCCTGGGCGCGACGCTCATGAGCGAGGTGCTCAAGGGCCGGGGCTACGCGACGCACATCGTGGGCAAGTGGAACCTGGGCCACGCGTCGGAGGCTACCTCCCGCACCGGCGGGGCTTCGACTCGTTCATCGGCTACGTCGGCGACCAGGAGACGTACTTCTCCCACGAGGCCTACGGCACGGACCCGAACAACGGCACGTCCTACTGCGACCTCATGCGGTCCAACTCGGTCGACGGCGTCAAGGTCGGCGAGTGCTACCTCGACGAGTACTCGACGGACCTGTACGCGCGGCGCCTCGTGGACGTCGTCGGCGAGCACGCGACGACGTCGGACAGCCCCCTCTTCCTCTACTTCGCGGCCCAGGCGCCCCACGCGCCCCTCGAGGAGCCGCCGCCGATGAACGCGACGGCGCCGCAGGAGGCGATGCTCGCGGCGCTCGTCGGCGCGGGCGACTCCTGGGGCAAGCGGCGGACCTTCGCGAAGATGGTCATGAATTTGGACAACAACGTCCGCAAGGTCGTCGACGCCCTCGCCGCCGCGAAGCTCCTGCAGAACACGGTCGTCGCGTTCGCGTCCGACAACGGCGGCTGCCCGCGCGACGGCGGCTCGAACTGGCCGCTCCGGGGGACCAAGTTCTCCCAGTACGAGGGCGGCGTGCGCGTGCCCGCCTTCCTCTGGTCGTCGACGCTCCAGAAGCGCGGCGCGGGCACGGTCTTCGAGGGCCTCTTCCACGTCGCCGACTGGTTCCCGACCTTGGTCGCGTCCGCGGGCGTCCGGGCGACCGTGGGCAAGATCGACGGCGTCAACCAGTACGACGCGCTCTTCGACGCGACGCAAAACGCGCCGCGCGACGAGGTGCTGATTCATTTGAACAAGTGGACGCCCGGAGCGGACCACGCGGCCGCGACGGCCTTCGACGCCGCGCCCGCCGCGCTCCGGTGGAAGCACTGGAAACTGATCGTGAACGAGGGGCCCATGGTCGTCAACGCGCCGGCGATGAACGCGTCCTGGTGCGCCTGCTCCCTCACGGCCCACAGCTCCACGTCCTACCTCTTCAACCTCGCGAACGACAAGAACGAGTCCGTGGACGTGCGGAGCGACCGGCCCGACATCTACGCGAAGATGGTCGCCAAGCTGCGCGTCTACTACGACGACGCGGCCAAGTCCGCCTGGAAGCCCGAGGGCAAGGAGGCGGCCTACGCGAACTGGCGCGCCGCGGACAACTTCGTCGTGCCCTGGGTCGGCAACGTGTCCCTCACGCTCGCCGACAGCCCGGACAAGCTCGTCTTCACCCACGCCTAAGTCTAGCTCAGGCATTGCCCGACGCCGTGGGGCGCCCACGCGCGGCGGGCCCAGGACGTCGCCGGGTCGTCGTCCCAGGGCTTGCGCCCGCCCGTGAAGTGCCAGACGCAGTCGGCCGGCGGCGCGGCCCCGGCGAGCGTCGCGGCGACGTCGCGCGGCGGCGCGTCGCGCTCGTGGTCGTGGAAGACGCGGTTCCACCGCGGGTCGAGCGGGAGGAAGTCGGCCCCGAAGACGCGGACCATGGGCGCCTGGCTCGACGGCCGGCTGAGGAACGTCGTGCCGTTGCGCCGGACGCTCGCCGCGGCCTCGGCCATGGCGGCGACGAGCCGCGCCGTCGCGCCGGCGGCGCGCCAGCGGCCGAGGTCCGCGACGAAGACGCCCGCGTTGAACGACGGCGAGGACGGGCCGCGGCGGAAGAGCCGCCGCCGCGGCGCCGCCGCCGTGCCGCCGCGGTCCACGGCGGCGACGGCGCCGCCGCGGTCCGGGCGGGACGCCTCGAGCCGCGGCAGGGCGTCGCGGAGGAGCGCGACGGCGTCGCAGTGGACGACGGCGTCGACGTCGACGTAGAGCGCGGTCGCCGCGTCCGCGGGCAGGAGCTCGTCGAGGAAGAAGCGCGCGTAGTTGAGCCGCGACCCGAGGCGGCCGTACTTGGCCCGCTTCGCCGCCTGGCGCGCCGCCTCCTCGGGACCCGACGCCGCGAAGTCGTCGTAGCCGGGGATCTCGAGCCGCGCGGCGCCGGTCCGCTCGACGGCGACGACGCGCGCGGACGCGCCGCTCCCGCCGACGGCGCAGGCCGCGAGCCGCGCGGCCGTCGCGGCGTCCGCCTCGGGCACGACGACCGTGAACGCGAGCCGCGGCGCCGACGCGCCGGCGGCGGCGGCGGCGCTGTGCAGCACGGCGCCGAGGCCCTGGAACTGGTGGGCGTCGCAGGCGACGACGACGTGCGCCGTGAAATTCGTTTGTGCGGCCGCGCAGCAGGCGAGCAGGCAGAGGAGCCTCAGCATCGATGTTGCAGTGTCCTCAGCGCGTATTTTTTGGGCTCATCGTCTCTGGCAAAAAAATGCATCGTCGCCGAAACTTTGGCTCGGCGCGTCCTCTCTGACGAGAGTATGAGCCTGCGCTTTGCACCGCTGATGATGCAAAAACGCCGTCGCGCTGCAACGACGTTGCTCGCCGCAACCTCGCTCTTCCTCCCTGGCGCACTCGGGTTCCGCAAAACGCAGCGTCTTATAACTTTGGCGCACAACCGCGACGCCTCGTGATAGCTCTCTGAAACGCACTCTCTATCCACAGGTGTGCTGCGGCGCGCGCCGTGCGCCTCGCGGCGACGCTGCCGAAGGACGAGACGCGCGTCAGCGACCTGCGCGACTCCGCGCCGCACGCCGACGGCCGCGGCGTCGTCTGCGCGGTGCTCGACACGGGCTGCGACCTCAACGCGGCCGGGCTCGCGACGACGTCGCACGGCCTGCCCAAGTACGTCGACTTCCTCGACTGCACGGGCGGCGGCGACGTCGACGTGACCAAGGTGGAAAAGCGCCGCGGCGACCACGTCGCCTCCGCGGCCGGCGGCGACCTGCGGCTCGGCGCGTGGGCCGACGGCGTCGACGAGTTCCGCGTCGGCGCCGTCCGCCTCTGGAGCCTGCTCCCCGGGTCGGCGCTGAGCCGCGTCAAGGCGGAGCGGCGCGCGGCCTTCGACGCCGCGGACGCGGCGGCGCGCGCCGAGGCGCAGCGCGAGCTCGACGGCGTCGCCGCGTGGGAGCCCTCGCCCGCGGATGTGGAGGCCTGGGCCCCGAAGGCGCCGACGGCGGCCGCGGCGAGGAAGGCGCGCAAGGCCGAGCTCGAGCTCCGGCTCGCGCAGCTCGCGAAGCTCTCGGAGGACGACTACGACGACGCGGGGCCGACGCTGCACGTCGTCGCCTTCAAGGACGCGGAAGGAGGCTGGCGCGCCGTCGTCCACGACGCGTCCGACCTCCGCGGCGCCGTCGCCATGGCGCCCTTCGCGAAGCACCGCGAGATGGGCGAGTTCGGCCACGGCTCCGCCGTGACCTACTGCGTGCAGATCGGCGACCTCGACGGCGGCGGCGCGCTGTCGATCGTCGCGGACGCGGGCAGCCACGGCACGCACGTCGCGGGCATCGTCGCGGCGCGGCGTCGAGCGACGAGCGCGCAGAGTTTACGCCTAGGAATCCGCAAAGGAACCCGTCGCTCGTCGTAGGTCGCCGCCCACTACGACGACGCGTCCGCCGACGGCGTCGCGCCGGGCGCGCAGATCCTCGCGCTGAAGATCGGCGACGGCCGGTTGGGCTCGGCGGAGACGGGCGCGGGCCTCGTCCGCGCGCTCGTCGCCTGCAAGCGCTACGGCGTCGACCTCATCAACCTGAGCTACGGCGAGCCCTTCTACGACGCGTCGACGAAGGGACGCGTCGCGGAGACCTTCGACGCCGCCGTGCGGAAGTGGGGCATGACCGTGTTCACGTCGGCGGGCAACGACGGCCCCGCGCTGTCGAGTCTGGGCGCGCCCGGCTGCCTCAGCGCGCCCATCACCGTCGGCGCCTACGTGTCCAACGCCATGATGAAGGCGCAGTACGCCATGCTCCCGGACGACGGCGGGCGCGTCGCCGACACGTCCTACACGTTCTCGTCGCGGGGCCCGACGCCGGACGGCTGGCTCCCGACGCTCTGCGCGCCCGGCGGCGCGGTCGCGCCCGTGCCGCGCCACGTGCTCACGGGCCGCGCGCAGTACCACGGCACGTCCATGTCGTCGCCGAACGCCTGCGGCGTCGCGGCGTGCGTGCTGAGCGCGCTCGAGGACCGGCCGAACCCGGCGGCGCTGCGGCGCGCGCTCGAGAACTCGTGCGTCGCCGTGCCGTCCGCGGACCCCTTCGCGCAGGGCTTCGGCTTGGTCGACGCCGTCGGCGCCGTGGCGTACCTCGAGGCGCACGCGGGCAAGCCCGCCCAGGACGTGGCCTTCGACGTCACCGTGCCGTCGTTCGGCGGCGGCCGCGGCATCTACCTGCGCGACGCGGGGCAGGTCGCGTCGCCCGCGGCCGTCGGCGGCGTCGTCGTGGGCGTGCAGGTGAGGCCGCTCTTCGAGCACGCGCGCGAGCGCACGGCGCAGGAGCTCGAGGCCGCGCTCGCGTTCGACCTGGACCTCGACCTCCGCTGCGCCGCGCCGTGGGTCGAGACGCCCGCGAAGCTCCAGCTCATGTCGGGCGCGGGCGTCGTCGGCGCGCGGCCCCAGTCCTTCAACGTGAAGATCGACGCCGCGGACCTGGCGCCCGGCGCGCACTTCGCGCGCGTCGAGGCCTTCGACGCGACGGACGGTGCGCGGGGCCCGCTCTTTACGCTGCCCGTGACGGCCGTCGTCCCCCACAACGGCCTCGAGGACGACGGTCGCGTCGACTACGCCTACGCCGCGGTCCTCGACAGCGGCGTGCCGGACCGGCGCTTCCTCCGCGCGCCGAAGAACGCCGAGTACGCCAAGGTCAAGCTCAGGACCGGCGCGCTCCCGCGGGGGCCGCACGCGGTCACGTTCCACGCCGTGCCGTCGGCGCGCGGCGACCTGCCGAACACGGCGTGCCAGACCAAGGAGTACCCCGTGCTCCGCCCGCACTCGGAGGAGACCCTGATCGTCCCCTGCCAGGGCGGCGCGACGATGGAGCTCTGCGTCGCTTTGGGCTGGATGTCGAACCCCGTCGACGGCGTGCCGCTCGACGTCGACGTCGAGTTCTACTCGTTCGGCCTCGGCGAGCAGCTCGCGACGGGCGGCGCGACGGACTCGAGCCTCGGCGTGCGCATCGGCGCGGCGGCCGAGTTCGCGCGCCTCGAGGTCGGCGCGCCCCTCCGGGCGATGGAGATCAACCCCAAGGCGACGCTCACGCACGTCGAGCGCGCGCTGCGGCCCCAGTCCTGCAAGATCGCGGCCGGCGACGCGCTCCTCGACTCGCTGCCGCCGTCGGACGCGGTCCTCGCGGACGACCCGGCGGCGCCGGCGACGCTCGTCCAGGACGCGGTCCTCGCCTACGCCTTCGACGTCCGCTCCGCCGACGCGCTCGACGCGTCGTCGACGCTCAAGGTCGTGCCCCGCGCCGAGGCGCTCCACGCGCAGCTCTACGACTCGCCCCTCGACGGCGCCGTCTGGCGCCTCAAGGACGCGAACGGCCGCGTCGTCGACCACGGCGGCCTCATCCACGACCAGGCCCCGTCGCCGCTCCGCGCGGGCTCCCACCGGCGTCGAGCGACGGGCGCGTTTTTTCGCGCGAATTTCGCCCGAAGATGCGAAGAAATCCGACCCCGTCGCACTTGGTAGGCTCCTACGAGCTCGAGCTCCGCATCCGCCACCCGGACCGCGCCGTGCTCGAACGCGTCAAGGATTTGCCGCTGCTCCTGCGAGTGGAACTCCCGGCGGCCCTCGAGTGCCCCGTGCTCGCCGACCGGGGGCCCGCGTCCGTGGGAGGGGGCACGCAGATGCCGGCGGGCTTCCTCCGCAAGGACGCGCGGCGCGCGCTCTACGTCCGCCGCCCGGACAAGGCGGCGCCGTCCTGGGTCGATCCCGGCGACGTCATGGTCGGCTCGATCAACCTCGACGCGGGTCTCCTCGGCGGGTCCCGCGTCAAGGTGCCCCTCGCGTACGAGGTGCCGCCCAAGGCCAAGGCCGACGGCGACGACGACGACGACGACGACGACGACGACGGCGACGACCTCTCCGACGAAGAAAAAGATGCCAAGGCGCTGCTCGAGGCGCTCCGCGACGCGCGCCTGAAGGCGCTCGACGGATTGAAGGGCGCGGACCCGCCGTCGCGCCACGCGGCGCTCGCGGCGGCGATCGCCGAGGACCACCCGGGCCACCTCCCGCTCCTGCGGGCCGTCCTCGACGACGCGGTCAAGCGCGCGGAGAAGGACGACGGCGCCGCGGCGGCGTCGAAGGTCGTCGCCGCCGCCGAGGCGCTCGTCGCGGCCTGCGACGCGGAGGCGGTCTCGACCTACTTCGGGCGCGACGAGCCCCGCGAGGGCCGCGAGGCGAAGAAGCGCGGCGAGGACATGGACGAGAAGCGCAAGGCCCTCCGCGCGGCGCTCCTCGCCAAGGCCCTCGCGGCGCCCGAAGACGAAACCGCCGTCGACGACCTCAAGCGCTGGGCGCCCGACGACGGCGCGCTCGACGGCGACGGCGCCAAGGACGACTACGCGCTCGCGCTCGCGCGCTACGAGAGTGCCCGGGGCCGCCCGGCCGCGGCGCTCGCGCTGCTCCGCGGCCGCATCGAGAAGGCGGACCTCGCGTCCGTGCTCGGCCGCGGCAAGAAGCTCCTCGAGCTGAAGATCGCCACGCTCGACGCCCTGGGCCTCGCCCACTGGGTCGCGCACGCGGAGGAGGATCTCGCGCGCCGCTACCCGGCGACGTCGCCGCCGCTCTAAGTCAGGGGACGTGCGTACTGTGTTGCCCGGCGCGAGGCCAAGGTCGTCGGCGACGACCGGGCGAGCCCGACGCGGTCCCCGCTCGTCAAGGGCCGCCCCGTCCGGGACTCGTGAGGGAGCGGCGCTAGTTTACTCGGCGGAGGGTAGACTTTGCAAGGTTCAATATGAGTCGTGCTTTGATAAGGAGATGTTCGTTTCTGGTGAAATGTCCAGATGCCATCCGCGGTCAATTTACAGGCCTTTCAATCGAGCTCTTACTTTTGTTTTTTGTTTTCTTTTTTTTTTGCGTCTCTGACCAGACAGGCTTGAGCTTCTGCAAGAAGCTGACGAGCAAAGACCGGCGGCAGTTGGATGGCGACGCAAGCACGCTGACCAGGTTCTCGATAACAGCGCCGTTGCGGTAGGACAGGGTGGTACGAAAGGCGCTGGTTCCCATGCACGCTTTTGAGGCATTGTACGATGAAATCGTTGCAGCAATCCACCGTTTGAACGATTGCTGGTTTTCCCGTCGAGCACAGCAGGGCAGCGAACCAGCAATTGCGAAGTATTTGCGGTAGTTTGTGTCCCAGAATGGTAGGTTCCGAATCTCCGTGCCAAAAATTATGGGAATGCAGCCCGCGGCGAGAGCGTCAAACGGCCTACGACTAGTCGAGACGTCACCTTCTGGCGCCAGGCAGTAGCGGGATGCAAGCATCGACCTGGCAGTTGATCTTGTTATTTCTTTGATATTTTGCTTTTTTTGGCTTTTTTTTTCCTTCAAACTCATACTTTTTTTTTCCTTCCACGACACCTGCAAACTAATATTCCGAACATCAGCGGCCTCGCCGAATTCGTCCTTGATTGCGCTAATCACGACCCCTCGAAAGGAACCTTCGTGTGTTCTATGTGTGTTGCCGTGAAACATGATATCAGTACGCCTCGCGGTGGCAAAGGCGGCATCACAGTCCGATGTCTGGTTATACGCGTGGTCTTCGAGCAGTCCACTTGCAACATACGGTATAACGATTGCACTCAGATTTGTTGATTCGAAGGGGTTCATCCCATAGTTCGCCCTTGCTTCCTTGTGTAAGTCAAAGTTAGCTTTGAAGCCAGCGCGATTATCCATGTCGGCGGTCGCGATGATAAACCGATTCGCATGGTGGGCGATCTCGCCCCTCAGGTCCTTACAGCCGGCTGTCGGCCCCCAGATATCATCAAAATCGATCAGGTGCCAGATGTTCCAAACCCTATAATAGCTATAAACAAAAAGAATATGAGCATCTCGGGGCATCATCGTCATTATCTTTGGAAGGGCATTAGCAACTTCTCCTAAGCGTTCGTAATGTGTCTTATTCCCTGCAATCCGGCACTCAGGGAACATCTTCGTTGCTATGTAAGATGCAAAGATTGGAGCGTTGAGGACGTGTAGCTTTGCCCCGGACGGATCCTCAGTCCGCTGTCGATGGGTATGCCACTGCGCATAAAGATGGTAGTCATCGGCGCGTATTACGCCTCACCCCTCGACGTCCAGGAGCACGCGCACCTGCTGGGGGCTGTACGCGGTCCCCGCTCGTGGGCCCCGGTCCGCGACGGACCCGCGTGCACTGCTCGTTTGCTAGCCGGCGACGTCGCCGCCGCTCTCAGTCAGGGGACGTGCGTAGTTACTGTGTTGGTTTTTCCCGAGGCGCGGACTGTCGTGTTCAGAACCTGAAGAGGCTCCGTCGTTTCCTGGATCTCGCGCGTGCGCTCGGTGGTTTTGTGGTGGCCCTCGTCAGCCGTTGCGGGGGTCGGCGAAGAGGGACCCGAAGTTGCCGAAGGGCGTGTCCCAGGCCTTGCGGCCGTCGCCGGTCGCGTCCGGGCCGCGGTTCACGAAGGGCGGCGCGCCGTTGCCCGGCGCGTCGTGGGCGCCGGGCGCGCGCGAGCCGACGGCGCCGCCCGGCGCGCGGGGCCCGAGGGGCGCGCCGCCGCCGCCGGCCGCCGCGAGCGCCGACGAGCCCGCGAGCGCCGACGAGCCCGCGAGGCCCGGGCTCTGGCCGCCGGGCCGGCCGAAGAGGCACGAGAGGCGCATGGCGATCTCGTCGGCGCCGCCGTCGTCGCGGCCCTGGCCCGGCGCGCCGCGTTGCCCCGGCGCGCGCGCGGCGCCGTTCGCCGGCGCGGGCGCCGCGGCCGCGGCGCCGCGGCCGCCGCGCGCGGGCGGCGCCGCGCCGCCCGGCGCCGCGTTGCGGGGCGCGCCGACGGCGCCGACGGCGCGCCAGGCCGGCGCCGCCGCGGCGGGCGCGGGCGCGGGCGCGCCGCGGCCCCCGGCCGCGGCCGCGGCGGCGGCGCCGCCGCCGCCGCGGGCGCGGGCGGCGGCGACCGCGCGCGCTGCTTGCCCTCGCCCTTGGCCCGCGCCTTGGCCTTGGGCTCCTCCTTCTTGGACGGCTCGGCCTTGCCGGCCTTGTCGCCGCGGCCCTCCTTCTTCTCGGGCTCCGGCGGCGCCTTCTTCTTCGGCGCCTTGGGCGGCGGCGGCGCCCGCTCCGGCGGCGGCGCCGCCTTGGCCGCCCCCGCGGCCTTGGGCGGCGCCGGCGGCGGGTCGCCGCCGTCGTCGCTCGACGAGTCGTCGTCGCCGGGCGACTTGGGCGACGCCGGCGGCGGGCCCGGCGGGCCGGCGGCGTCGTCCTTCTCCTCGTCCTCGAGGGCCTTGGCGTCCTCGCGCTTCTTCCGCTGCTTGGCGCGCTTCGCCTTCTTCTTCTCGCGGGCCTTGGCGGACTTGGCCTCCTTCTCCGCCTCCTCGGCCTCGAGCTCCTCGACGAGCGAGAGCCGCGCGGCCTCGGCGCTGTCGGGCTTCCGCGGCGGCGGCGCGCCGCCCGGCGCGCCGCCGTCGTCGGCCTCCAACTCGTCGACGTCGCCGCCGCGCGCGCCGTCCCGCGCCTGCTCGCGCTGCTTGAGGAGGATGCGGAGCCGCGCGTGGCGCGCGGCCTTGCGGTCGCGCGAGCAGTCCGCGAGCGGCGCGCGGTACGCCGAGACCATGCGCGCGGCCGCGTCCACGAGGCCCCGCGCCACGAGCAGCGCCACGGCCGTGTCGCCCTTGGCGTTGCGGCAGGCCACGAGCTCCGGCAGGCAGTCCTCCTCCTTGGCCGCGTCGAGCACCGGCCAGAGCACGTCCAGATGCCCCTTCTTCGCGGCGAGGAGCACGGCCTCGCCCGACGGCGGCGCGCCCGCGGCTAGGAGCGACGCCGCGAGCTCCGCGCGGCCCGCGCCCGCCGCCAGCGTCAGCGCGTCCTCGCGGGGCGACGCGCCGCGGACGGGCCGCGCGGGGTCCGCGCCCGCCTCGAGGAGCGCGCGCGTCGCGCGCGCGGCGCCCTTGGCCACGGCGAGGTGGAGCGCCGTCTCGCCGTGGGCGTCCTCGGCGTCGACGTCGGCGCCCGCGTCGGCGAGCACGGGCACGATGGCCGCCGCGGCGCCGTCCGCGTCCGCGCGGTGGCCCCGCGCGCACGCCAGGTGCAGCGGCGTCCGCGCGGAGCCCGACGCGACGTCGCGGTGCCGCGCGTCGGCGCCCGCCCGCAGGCAGCGGCGCACGGCGTCGGCGGCGCCGTTGCGCGCCGCGCTCAGCAGGCACGCGTCCGCGTCGCCGGCCGCGATCTCGCACGACGACGACCCCACGGTCACCGTCGCGCGGACGCGGAGCGACCCGTCCGCGGCGAGGAGGCCGCGGCTCGCGAGCTCGCCGTGGGACGCGAACTTGGGCCAGCCCCAGTCCTGGACCGCCGGCGGCGGCGCGGCGCGGAAGACCTGCGTCGCCCACTTGGAGTAGTGGCGGCCGTCGTCGCCCGACGCGTGCTCGAGCGTCATCGTGAACGTCGTGTGCTTCTGCCACCCAAAGGGCAGGCGCGCCGCGTCGCGCACGGACAAATACAAGCTCACGTGGCCCGCGTTGTCCGCGCCGTCGCCGTCGAGGAAGTAGTAGAGGAGCCACCGGTTGCCCGCGGCGTCGACGAACCTGCGTGGATTCCAAACCTTCAACCCGACTTCAATGTGCGCGTACTCGAACGGTTTGGACCAGACTCTTTCGCTGTGCTTCGAGAACTCGACGAGAGCAATCAATTCGTCCAAAAATCAGCCGAATCGACGTCGATTTGACCGAGATAGAGAGTTCTGAAGTTTGGTGGGGACCCCCCAAACCAGCGGTCGGAATCCGCGCGTCGACGAACGCGTCGTCGTGGTACTCGCCCTTGTGCGCGCGCGCGACGTCCGTGCGGCGGCTCGCGTCGAAGTCGAGGACGGACCAGCGGCAGACGACCGTCGTGGGCCGCGCCTGGGGCGCCCAGTCGACGCCGCCGTCGCCGACGCGGCACACCGTCGCCGCGTCGACGTCCTCCTCCGGCACCGCGGCCGCCGCGGGCGGCCGCGGCGGCGGCGCGGCCTTCTTCGGGGGCGCCTCGTCGTCGGAGCGGTCGTCGCTCGACGCGTCGTCGTCGTCCGCGCGCCGCGCGCGGAGCGGGCCCGCGGGGAGCCGGAGCCGGAGCGGTAACGCGGCCACTAGATGGTTCACGGACACGCGGCCCCCGCCCACGGCGAGGCCGTTGCCGTTGACGACGGCGCGGTTCGCCGCCTCGGCCGTGGCGAAGCGCACGCAGGCCGACTGGCGCGCGCCGCCCTTGGGCCCCGCGGCGGCCGCGGCCGCGGCCGCGGCCGCGGCGGGCGGCCGCGGGTCCACGAGCAGGCAGCGCTCCACCGTGCCGTAGGGGCGGAAGATCTCCTCGAGCTCGGACCGCGTCACGCGCGGGCTCAGGCCCATGACGAAGACCGCGCAGCCCGCGGGGCCGATGCCCCGCGAGAAGCGGCTGAACGTCGTCCCGAGCGCGTCGACGCCCGGGCTCGCCGCGGCGCCGGCGCCGTCGTCCTCCGCGACGAGGCGGCCCCCGGCGTCGGAGGCGACGGCGTCGCGGTAGTCGCGGAGGGGCTCGTCCTCGTCCTCGTCGCGCGACGACGCGCGCGCGACGGCCGCGAGGACGTCCGCGGAGTCGCCGCCGACGGCCGCGGGCGAGTCGCCGTCGCGCCGGTCGCCGGGCTCGGAGCCGCCGTCCTCGGCGGAGCCCCGCGAGTCCGTGTCCCGGCCGTCGGACGCGTCGTCGTCGTCGTCGTCGTCGTCGTCGCCGTCGTCGTCGTCGTCGCCGTCGTCGTCGTCGTCGTCGTCCGGGCCCGCGCCGGGCCGGCCGCCGTCGTCGCCGCTGTCGCCGTCGTCGGACCCCCCGCGGCTCCGGGCCGGCGC